TCTATTATTCTATGTATTACCACGTGGCTATGGTCTGCCGGTAAAATTCTGGGACTTCTGTCTACTTCAGCAGCTACATGGCATCTCTCTGACTCCACCTTCTTTCTCCCAACATTCAGTTTAGTTTTCTCTCCCACCTCTAACCTACCCTGTCATAGGCCCAAGCAGCTTATTTATTTATTAACCAATAAAAGCAACACAGACAGATTTCCCACATCAGCCCAGTGCCAAATTCACCACGGTGCTTAGAATGATTGATCACTTTCTTCCCAGCAATGGATTTCACAGAATACACAGAACAGAATCCTTGGATTCTATGACTGGCCCCTCCCCTCCTATTCTGGTCCCTTTGTGTCACCAGAATATGAGACCTCCACCACAATTGAAGTCTATTCCCAGTTTCACTTAATCCCTAGGAAGAAGAGGAAACCATGTTCTATGAATTGAGGAGAAATATTGGGACTGACAGAGAAGTCTTCCCACCCCAAACTCCATCAATCTAGCCTGAGTCAGTTTATGCCGTGGAAGAATGGTCTTCTAACACTGCCATTAAAATAAGCCAGTGTGGTTGACACATACCTGGGATCCAAACATTCAAAATGTTGAGGCAGAAGGATTTTCAGGAGTTTGAGGCTAGGCTGGGACACATTGTTACATAGTGAGTTCCAGGTCATCCAGGATTATAGACTGACAGCTGTCTAAAAAGAAAACTAAAAATAAATGAAAATAAAACACAAGAAAATGTGTCCTTTTGCAGTTCAGGGGGCCTGGGTTCTGAAATACATGCCCTTCTTCTAGAAGCAAGGTGCCAGTAGTGTCCTCCCACAAGCTCCTCGGGAACCCCAGCTGTTAATGGCTAGATCAGATTGCCAGGGTCACATCATTCTACCTGTCTCCTTGGCCATCCTGTCCTCCCTCCCCCATGTGTGTCCCACAAGCCCTATTTTCCTCCCATGTGGACACTGGGGTTTGTAATTACCACCCCTCCAGGAAATCCAGCACAGTCTCAGGCTTCCTTCATCGTATCTTCAAAGTCTATGCCCTCTGGCGTCAGTTCCTCTCATTCCAGGGACCAGTGACAAATGATCCAGCAGCCAGTTACTGCTGAGGCTGAAGCTTAGTGGCCTCCAAAGTCTTGTGTATTACAGGCTTGACTCTTAGGGTGGTGTTACTGGAAGCTTAGGAGATGGGCCTAGTAGAAGATCGGTAGGTCTTTAAGGATGTGACCTTGAAAGATGTTGGGAGTTGTGAGACTCCAGCACCTTTCCTTTCCTCCCCTTGGCATCCTGGCTATGAGGCAAGGGCTCTGCTCTGCCACATACTCCCACCATGCTCTGCTGCCTCTCCACAGGCCCAAACTGATCAGGATCAGGAGATCCTGGAATAAAATCATCACCCAAAATGAATATTTTTCTCTTTTAAAGTTGATTAATACACATGTTTAGTAAAGTAACAGAAAACTAAGATAGTTATGCCCCCATGCCAGGTCAGGGCCACATCAATAAAACACCCTTTGTTTGCTCCTTTTCTTCCAGTCACAACCACTGTGCCCCAAACCCTTCCTACTCTGGCACCAACTTCTCCATTGGAGAGGCAGCACATGAGGTTTTCCTCAAGCTCTACTTTTCTGGTAAACTCAGACTAATATGTCTAAATCAGGAGGACCAGAACGCATGCTAATAGTGGGCGTCATGATAGGAGCCATGATACAAGAATTCTCCGAGTTTACAGGAAGGAATTGTAGAAAGAGAAGTTGCTACACTAAGAAAATGTGTGCCTTTTAACAAACACGCATCTTTAGGAGTGGGATTTACACTGTGTCAAAAAGTTTATTTCCATTCTGAAAAACATTTCCAAAGGGAGAAATCTGGGGGTAGAACCGAAAGTGTAGTGGTCTAAATGAGAATGACCCCTAAAGGCTCCTAAGTTTGGATATTTGGTCACCAGTTGGTAGAACTGTTTTGAAGGATTAGGAGTCATGGCTTCTTGGGAAGTGTGTCACTGGAGAAAAGCCCTGGGGTGTCAAAAGCCCACACCACTCCCAGTTAGCTCTCCCTGTCTGGTGCTTGAGGATCAGATGTGAGCTCTCAGCCACTGTGGCAGCACCGTGCCTGTCTGTCTGCTGCCACGCTCCTAGCAACAATGGTCTCTACTACCCTCTGGAACCATGAGTCCCAAATCAAAGGCTTTCTAAGTTGCCTTTGGTCGTGATGTTTTACAACAGCAGCAAAGAAAGTTACCAAGACGGAAGGGAATTCACTCTGCTGAGAGGGACTTATGTGGACTGATGAACATGCCCCAGTTCCCTGTGGAGGGGTGAGTGCTAGCTGTCATAGCATTAGGTGTGACTTTGAATACGCTTTCGATGTGCGAAGCAACCTGCATTCCTCCAACGGGCAATGTGTCTTATGTCCTGGGCGGGTCTAGGAAGCAATATAGCACATCAGTAAATCTGCGCAGGCTGTGGAGCTGTGCCTGCCTATCTAGGTGGGGAGAAGAGCCAATGGGGGGAGCAGGGTAGAACTTTCTACCACAGCCCTCAGAGGTGACACACGTGCAATTTTTCCAACAGGCAATTTTGTTGGTTCCTTTGTTTCAGAGACTCGTGTAACTTTTAGGTTCTGCAAAGAACAGGCAGGCAATCACACCGAACATGAGGGAAATCAAAGGGAAAATACCCCAAACAGAAGCTGTCAATCACATGCCTGTCTTCTACCAACACAAGGATAGTATAAAGTGCGCACTTTAGTGGAGTTTTTTTTTTTTTGTGAGTACCCTGCTACTGTCTCCGAGCTGGCAAGACAGAGGAGTGTAACCGAATGTGTATCGCCGCACAGCTGGGAGCACCTACCTCTGGCACAGCCGTGTTTACCAGGTGTTTATTGAGCAGCACAGCTGGATCATTTCTCTCGGAAGGATTCCCCTGGGCCGTGTATTTTCAACCTCCCAAGCCTATCTTGTCTCCATCCGTTCGTGGCTACAGTCATCAGCTCCCCACATTTCAGCGTTCTTTCTCTTTCCTCCTTTGGCTCGAACACACACAAAGAGGTGAAGACACACACACACACACAATGAACAAAGTGTCAAGACAACATTTTTCACAATGGCAATGTATTGGGCCAGCATTTGCTACTGTGGGAAAGCACTTGAGAGAGTCAACTTTAAAAGAGGGGAGGAAGGATTAGTTTTCAGTATATGACTGGCCAGTTCTCTTACTTTGGGCCTTGTTGTGAAGCAGCACATTCTGGTGGGGATTACAGGACAAAGTAGAATTTTTTGTCTCACAGCTGGAGTGTTAGAAGGAGGAAGAGCTTGTGGTCCCAACACACCAGCCTTCGAAACCATTCCAAATAAACAACTGGAAGACTACCCATTAGGCAGTAACTCTGAAATGTTTCCACCACCTCCAGCTAGTGCCACCCTTGGGACCCAGGCTTTCCTACAGAGGCTTTGGGAGCACAGTCCAGGTCAAGTTCTAGCAGCTGGAATCGCTTCCCTCACATCTCGATACTTTCCCCTGCCCCACGGCACAGAGAAGAGCCAACGCCAGCCAGAAAACATCCACAGGAGAACCTCGGTGCTTCTAGAAGACTCTAGACATGAGCACAAGATCAAATGATTTGTGTAGCCTTGCACCTCTCCTCTGCAGAGCATCAGGAGGCCTGAAAACGTCTGTGTTTTCCAGCTTCTAATCAGCTCTTAAAGGATGACAAACAATGAATGAACGCATGAGCGAACAAACTAAAGGCTGGAGGAACTGTTGTGGAGCTGTGGGGGGTTCTTCCAGGGCTAGGAATCAAACCAAAGAGTTCACACTTGCTAGGCAAGAGCTCTGGCACTGAGCATCCCAGCTCAGGACAGGACATTTCTAAAAGACACATGATCTAAATGAGCATACAGTATACTGGAAAGAAGAGCGACATAAAGCCTGAGACCAGCCTTCCAGCCAACTGATGTTGGACATGCAACCTTATCCCTCAGATGACAGAGGATAGCACGATTTTATCTTTACAGATAACATCAACCACCAATACAAAAGCGTGAGATTTAGAAAATATGTTTCCGTTGTAAGAATTCACATTTACCAAGCTGGGGGCCAGAGAGTGTCCAGATTTTGAGATAGCATCACATCGTGTTGCTGAAGCTGGCTAATGGCTTGGTACCCTAGCACCTCAGCATCTGGAATGCTGGGGTTTCAGATGTAGACCACCACACTCAGCAAGGATACCTACTGCTTGGCCTAGAAGCACAGCTGTGCAATGCTCGACCTTAGAGCACTGACATCATTAGTAAAGATGCCACCCATCCACAGGCTCCTGTCATGTCCAACCCTCCTTGGGTTGCAGACAGAGCAAATGTCTGGCGTTATCTGTGTCTGCCACTGAGCTGACTAACCATGGCAGGACCTTCTCTCTAAACTTGACTTCTTGCCCTAAATCTTTGCTTCCTTCTTTCTCCATGCCACTCCTACTCATAAAAATGACTGAGTCGTGGGAGCTGGAGAGATGGCTCAGTGGTTAAGAGCATTGCCTGCTCTTCCAAAGGTCCTGAGTTCAATTCCCAGCAACCATATGGTGGCTCACAACCATCTGTAATGAGGTCTTGTGCCCTCTTCTGGCCTTCAGGCATACACGCAGAAAGAATATTGTATACATAATAAATAAAATAAATAAATATTTAAAAAAACTTACTGAGTCGCCAAGGTTCGAGAGCATGCTTTTAGTGAATACCTTTATAAAAATACGTGTGAAAAACAGAACATCGCTTAGCATGTGTTCTGTCCAGAATACCATCTCAAAAAAAAAAAAAAAGGAACGAAAAGACAAAAATCCTGACACATCTATCTCTTCATCTGTGTTTAATAGATACTGAACTACATGACAGATATTAGGAGCCAAAACTTTTGCTCCACTAGGTTTCTTAGACCATACAGTCTCTGCCATGGCCACTTGGTGCTGTGTGCACTGGCACCATAAAGGATACAGAAAACAATGGACAGGTCTACATCCAACAGAACTTTATTGATTGGAATAAGCAATGGGGAAGACAGATCCCAGGGACCCTTCTTGCCAACCCCTGAACAGCACCAGTTTGGAGGAAAATCCTATCCAAAGCATCATTTCTTCATCCGAGCGCTTCCTGTTGCAGAAAGGTCTTCCTAAGGCTTGGTGAAGGCTCATATCTAGGCACTCTGTCCCTCTCCCTCAACGTCCTTTGATAAGTGCCAATTGGCAAGAGGACCGTCCTTCATTGGCAGCTATTCTGAAAGACAAAGCAGGGGTAGAGATTAAAGCCAGGCCCAGGTCTTTGTACTGTGCTCAGCATATCAAGTGGTCCTCTTCAGATCGGACTGTGCTGGCTGTACACCTTCAGAAAGAGACAGAACCATTCTTTCGCTCAATAGTCTTCCGTGTGGGTGTGGGAGGGAAGGTTTACGAAAGGCCCTTCTGAAAGGCCGGCTGAAAGGAAACCATTCTCCCTGGCACCACGGACGACTCTTTCTCATGTGAAGCTGCGTGATCACTTTTCATTTCACTCCTCAAGCACCCCGTGGCACCCATCCATGTATTAGGCTAATAACTGCATGAAGCTAGTTAAAAGGAGCCCGAGCAATTATTTTAATTAGAAGAGAACAAAAATAACACTCCTGGCTTCTGTTTTAAGGGGGCAAGAAGGAAGTAGTCAGGGTTCAAAAAGATCCCACAAAATATTTTTTGTGAAAGGAAAAATAATTAAGGCCAAATTTAGAATGTACTTGCAATAAATGGGCCAAATAAAATGAATGGCCCCACTGTGCAGCCAGGACCCATTCACAGAGAAGAGCTCCAGAAAGCTCATTTTTATGTGATACCATCTTGAGGACACAGCCAATTTTACACAGTGAAAGTGAATGTCTAGTAGACTTTAATGATCCTTGTGAATCCCTCACGCACCCTCTTAAAGAGTTTCTGTGTAAACTCTTTTATTAATAAGAGACAGGGGCAGGATCTGGTTCAATTTGCCTTTTAAGCAGGATTTTTTTGTTGTTGTTTGAGTTTTTAAATTGCTCTGGAGAAATCTACCTTCACAGAAGATCCCTGTTGCTAATCCGTTCCATACAAGGTGGCATCCGTCACAAGAGGACTTTCTAATCGCTGGACTGTGCTCCATGACACAGGGAGAACACTGAGCCACACATTTCCCCAGCCTTGGCCTCAAGCCTCCATGGAGAGACTCTGCCACTTTGACCTCTTCCTTACATCTGCCTCTTCTAAAAGGAAACAACATGAAACTCAGAGCTGTCAGCTGGTTGCTATTGTTTGTGCTCTGTGGCTCCACAAATGCTAGTTGAGCACTTACCCCCACACACACATGCACACCCCCAAAGTTCCAGATTCCCACAGATCACCGGGGCTTGAGCTCTGTCACATGCAACTCCATAGCTGTCTGCTCCTACGGACAAAAACATAGGCAGAAACAGAGCCAGCTGCCCCAGCTCGATGGAGTCAGGGGTATCGAGCCTGAGCTTATAATCAAAGAGTAGATTACCCAAGAGAAACACATGGAAGTTTCAGGCAGAAAGATCAGCACAAACAGAAGCTGAGACACTCAGAACCCTGGTGCGTGGACAGAGCTAGCCCCACTACAGTGAGGGAGTGATCAGCCAAAGGCTAGAGGAGCCGAGAAAGCAAGCTGCAGACAAGACCCAGCCAGGCGCTGAAGTTTGAAGACTGGTGTCTTCTCAGGGTTCCCACTTTATCCTAGGACAGAGTCGGTCTATTGTCACTCGTAGCCTGAGCTATGAGTAGGATAGCCTGGGCTACGAGTAGGTTAACCTGGGCTATGAGTGGGATGGCTGAATGCTAATCCATCCCTTCTCAGATGTTCAGCTGCTCACTCTTAAGAGGACAACGGACCATGTTTGCCTCTTGTTGAAAAGCATGAGGTGATTTTTGAAGCTTGCTTTCTATTGCTATGATTAACACCACAATCAAAAGCAGCTAAGGGGAGGAGAGGTTGTTATTTCACCTTCCACATACAGGTCACAGTCCATCGCTGAGGGAAGCCGGAGCATGAACGCTGAGGAAGCAGAAACCACAGAAGAAGGCTGCGTGCTGGGCTCACTCTCATGCCCACGTTCAGTTTGCTTATATAGCCAAGGTCCACCTGCCTAGGGATGGGGCAGACCAAAGTGCGCTGGACCCTCCCACAGCAATCAATTGAAATAATCCCTCACAGATATGGCCACAGGCCAATGTGATTGCGGCAATACTTCAGTTAACGTTCCCTCTTCCCAGGTTACTCTAGGTTGTGTGAGTTGGCAATGGAAATTAATTAGGATACTGCTTTTGCCAATAGTGAGTATGATGTTATAAAGAGGTGTGACCTTTGGGTAGTGATGACATCATGAGCCCTCTACCTTCATGAAGGAGAATAGTGCCCTCATTTTACAACAAGGCACAAACTGGCTCACTTGCACCTTCCACCATGCAAGAATTCCACAACAAGACACCATTTCTACAGTCCAAACGGGACATTGTTACTGTTGGCACTTTAATCTTGGGCTTCCCCCTCTCCCAAAATTATGAGCAATATATTTCTTTTGTTTATTAATTATTCAGTCCAGGGCCAAGAGTGTAGCTTAGAGGCCACACACTTCCCTGGCAGGCAGAAAGTCCTGAGTTTCATCCTCCGCAGCACAGAACATAAAATCATCCCATCGAAGGTCCGTGGTGAAGCCGCCCACACAGACTGCAATAACAGGTCACAGGTGAGCCTGTGGCAGCCTACATTCACCCTGGGAAACAATACAAACCACCTCACAGCTGGCAGCAAGGGGTTGATACAGTCAACTGTTCAGTTCAGAGGCCAGGCTGTTGGTGAAAACAGGGTTGGCCTAGGAAGAGAGCTCGTAAGAAGGGGGAGCTACGTGGCCTAGGACTGGAGCAGGTTTTAAAAACAAGAAATCTTTCTCAGGAGCAATACCTGAGGGTTCAAAAGCTAGAGTTAAAGCCAAGTTTGAAGATTCGCCCTGAGGACCACGGGCTTTAGATGAGTGTTATCACTTGTCCCAGGAGGCTTTTTCTGTCCTAGGTTTTCTTTTAAACTCACATGGCCGTTGATCGTGGTTTTCAAAATCAAAATGGAATAACTAATTCCAACCTCGGACACATGAATATACTGTTGAGCGCCGTTTAGAAACTCAGTCCAATACTATTTACTTTTTTTAAAATTTGTTTCCTTTTATTTATTTTTGTTCTGTGTGCATTGGTGTTTTGCCTACATGCATGTCTGTGTGAGTGTGTCGGATCCCTTGGCAATGGTGTTACAGACAGTTGTGAGCCGCCATGTGGGTGCTGGGACCGGAAGAGCAGACAACGCTCTTAACTGCTGAGCCGACTCTCCAGCCCCCTATTTACTTTCCTATGCAAACCTTACACAAAGACAGAGCTTCCCATTTCAAGTCTAAGCTAACACACACAGGAGACCGAAAGGAGAGAAGGCTATGGTGACTGTTCAGGCCACGGCAGACAGGTTTAATTGCTCCGCTAGATGATCAGCCTTCTCAGGGGGCTCCCTGTGAATGAAATCTGAGAGAAATCCGTCTCGCGGTTTATGAGCTGAACCTGATGACACAGTGGAAGAGAACCTTACGGAAAATGGCGGACACCCTTCATTCACAAGCGTCGTCACAAAAGTACGTATTGCACGAATGAGGAAAACATGTGCAACCATATGTAAAGGGAACCGCCACAGCCAGGCTGGGTTCAGTCGAAACTACCAGACAGGTTAGCTTTCGAAACTCCATTGGAAAAAAAAAGGATACGAGAGAGGCCGGGGCTGTGTTGAATACAAGGTAAGTTCTAGCAAGAGAGGGCCCGGAATGGGGCATAAAATGACTACAAGTCATTATCTATGAGTATAAAATTGTCATGGAATTGAAAAATATGAGGGAAACCCACTGAATACTTTGTCACACTGGTGGAAGGAAGAGAAAAGGGCACATGGCTGCGCACAAGAGGAAGGTTTCACTTCGGGTAAAGAGGTCAACACAAAGCTCTGGGGAAATGTCTTCCTTTGGATAGATACTGATAACTGATAATAGAAGTCAACTTGACCGGCGTCATGGGCCAGGAATTCAGCTGTGTGGTATGGAACATTTTGGCAGTCACAAAATCCTTGGGTTCAATCTCGGTTATAAGGAGAAAAAAAAGATAGAAGAAGAAAAGAGAGAAAGGAGAGAAAGAAGAGGTAGGAAAGAATGGCGGCAGAGGGGGAAACGAAGGTCATGCAGACTGTGGATTTAAACAGAAAATGTGAAGCAGCAAACTTACTGGAATATACCATTCGGGTGTTTTCATGGCCTTGGGATAAGAAAAGCCCTCTCGAGATAACAGAAGTGCTAACCAAAAAGAAATTAACCATCCACAGAAACCATAAAGAAAAGATAAGTCAAGTACAGAAGACTGGTAACATTCCCAACCCTTGAACCCATAAAAGATGCATATATAAAATGTATGCATAACTCCTACAAAAGAGCAAGAAAAGATGAAAATTCCATACGAAAATAAGCAGTCTGGGTTGGAGCAATGGCTCGGTAGGTAAGAGTGCTTGCCCCACAAGCATGAAAACCTGAATTTGAAACCCCAGCACCCATTCACATAAAAACTGAGCTCTACCTTCCATGCCTCAGTACAGCAGGGGCTAAGTCAGGTTGTTCCCGGAGACACAGACCAGACAACCAAGCCCAAACAGTGAGCTTGAGGCTTGGTGAGACACCCTGTCTCAAGGGAACAAAGCAGACAGGAATAGAAAGGGACACCCGATGTCCTCCTCTAGCTACCACACGCATGTTCATGGGTACATAAACATGCGGACACACACATGTGCACCCACACGCACACACACCCCAAGCAGCAGGCAACTTGAGAAGAATGTTCATAAAAGGGAACAAATGCCCAGTACACCTGAAAAAATATGTCCAATATTTTTTTAAGAATCCAGGATATTGCCAATCTTTAATCCCAGCACTCAGAAGGTAGAGGCAGGCTGATCTCTGTGAGTCGGTCTACAGAGAAATTTTCAGTATAACTAAGGCTACACAAAGAAACCCTGTCTGGAAGAAAGAATCAGGAAATTGAACTAAGCTCACAATGCCAGTCGACTGCGTGCCACCAGAACGACTAGCAAGCATGAGCTGGGCTGTGGAGGGAGCAATTACATTCACTGCTCGAGACTGACAGAGTCTCCTTGGAAAGGTACTCATATCAGCATTTTATATTAACATCGAACAGTTCTGCCCTGCAATTTAGCAATTTCCCATCCAGTGTAAATATAGACTAAACATAATGCATGCACACACTCAGCAAGATGCGCTCAGGAAAGCGCACAGCCGAGCTCCCTGAAATCATCTAGAACTCAAAACAGTCAAAATATTCATAAAGGGGAAGAAGGACACACTGTGCAGTATGTGGCACTTTATGAAGAAAATATACTACAATTATAGCCAACATAATATTGAGAGAAGAAAGCCAAACACAGATCCCATGTTAAAATTCTGTACCACAGCAAAATAACTTAAAAAAAAACTATATATCTTCTGTGTGACTCCATTTACATGAAGTTCAAGAAAAATGAATAAATAAGGCAAAACAAATCCCTAGGGTCACAAGGATGTGGGTACCTTTGGGAAGGAATTGCGTCATAGGAGCAATTGGGAGTATCAATCATGTGATCTTTCTTGTCCTGCCATGGTGGGTGTGGCTACGGGATGTGTTAGGTCCAGATCAATGCACTGAGGCCCACATTCATGATCTTCACGCCTTCCCCATGTGGAGCTCCAGTGAAGCCCTCACTTGAACATTCCAAATGTTCTTCTTGCTTTGTGATGTCACTCAACATGGGCATGAAATAGGTAAGGAACAGGAAGAATGGATTCATGCCAGACACAGAAGGAGAGAATGATTTTCAATGCGTTAGGAAGTAGTAGTACATTAAGGGGAAGGGGGGAGTGGGAGAGAAAGCTTCAACGTGAAAAGGGTACTATTAACAATAAGGACAATAGAGAGGAAGTGGACACAGAAGCTCACAGCCGGCCAAAGTCAGTGGAGTATCCATCCACAAATGGAACATCTTGCAAAAAGGGAAAGGAAGGTTTTAAGGGTTAGAGGTGAGAAAAAGTCAACAGTGTCTGTAGACATGACAGGACCGGGACCATTACATACATAAACTCACAGCACCATGGTTGCCTGCCCAAGACCAAGCTAGTTTGCTTTCTAGCATGGAATTATTGACTGTAGGCAGCTGCTAGGGGAAGGAGAGTCAGTTTCCCTTTAAGGCGTAAGCCCAGGTAGGTGGACCATGCTCCAGTGGGTGACAACAAATCTATGAGTACATAAATAGCACGAATTGCAAACAGTGGTTATTAAAAACAAAAATTAAAAAGAGGACTTGAAGTTGGGAAGGGTGGGCCGATGTGGAAGGAGTTGGGGGAAGAGTGTGGGGCAAATATAATCAAAATATATTGTATGTATATATAAAATTCTCAAAGAGTTAATAAAAAGTATTACACTTAAATAAAATCTAAGTGCATGTGTGTGTGTGTGTGTGTATAAAATAAAATGTTATACTTAAACAAAAATACAGAACTAGGGGCTCCTGTGTTTCAGTATGGAAAACGGGACTAAAAAGTAATAAATATAGACTCCATACAACGCACTTTCTTATTTAATGTGTGTAAAGTTCATGTCAACAAGTCACAGTGTGGGGAACAATTCAGTGAAAGAAAATCCAACCTGGCTCCCCACCCAAAGCTGGCTCCAGCAGCCGGGGCTGCATCTACAGAGTGGTGGTGGTGCATCACAAAGCCTCCTATGCAGACAGGCAGAAGCCCACCCCCAGTTGGTGGTCAAGGAGAAAGGTCCCCCTTTGGATAGTGTTTCCGCAGTGCTGTGACCTAATCCTGAGCAGCTCTCCAGTCTGCACAGCGGCGTTCCTGCCTCCGCTCCAGGCACCTGGCTGGATGCAGGATGCTGGGGTGAAGCGGGCTATTGTTTCTAACCTTGGGAGGCAGCACCTGGAGGCCTGTGTTTAGGCTACACCATGTGTTTCCTGGAGGCAAATGCAGCAAGGAATAGAATCAAAATGGTTCCTAACACGACTGTTTCTACATCAACAAGCTATAAATGTATGGAAGAGCTCAACATACACGTGAAATAAACAGAAGGTAGGACTACGCTGAGCTACCTGAAACACAGCTCTGGAATTTAGAAGCGCGGCTTTCAATTGCTGTGTTTTTTAGATAGGAAACATCGTGGAAAACACCGACGTTATTCATCAGAGTGATTGTCCTGTGCACCTGTATACCTTCTATAATTTTTTTTTCCTCTCCCTGGGCTTTTTAGTTCAAGGAAATAGCTAGCTAATGACATTTCAGACTTTGGAAATTCTTCCCAATAGCACACTGGAGTTCCCTCGGGGAGGAAACTGTGAGTGCGTGGATTTTTTTTTTTCTGAGATCATTAACAGATATTACAAACCAATTCAAACTGAGCATTTTCTTTGCAAATTACCTTTAACTTTTAGAGCCATTGAAGGAAGGTGGGGGGGACGTGAGTGATTTGATTTACTTAACTCGTCGACAAATTGCAGCTTTGTGTTCCATCGGTGACTGCATTTCCAACCCCCCAAAAAACAGATCTCTAACTATCTCTAATAGATATATTTTTCTAAATTACCGCTTTGAATGAGTGATATTTCCAGAGAGTAACACTGTCTTTTTTTTTTTTCCATTTAGCAAGTTGCCCTGGATTTGGGATGTTTATCCTATTGGTATGTTTAAGGTTTAAAAAAAAAAAAAAAGAAAACCGAGCCCCACACTGTCTATCTGAGGCCTTAATTAGGTCTTTTCAGTAATTAGTTGATTTATCCTCTCCTGGGTGCATGCATGGTGATGCTTTGGTTGTTGGTGTACTGTGCCTTTCAGAGGAGAAGGAAGAATTCTTTTATCTCATGATCAAAACCTAGTTTCCGGGCTAAAAAGCTAATATTTGGGTGAGCAATCCCTCATTCCAAGATTACATCAGGCCTGATTCTGATTTGCATGTTTTTCACTCAAAGGACCCCCGTGGACTTCAAGAGGAGTCTCCTACAAGGACCAGCAATGTGGGAGACCTGACAGGTTCCAGAGCAAAAACTACACCAAGCACTGCTCAAGTTGGAGCCCAAAAGTGGGACACAAAACTAAAGGGTCTTCCCTGCCTATGCCATCCCATGGTGCGCATAGGAAATGTCCCCAGGCCTGCTAACTGCTATACTGGCTTCTCTGGCTCCTAATGTGGGTATGTGATGAATGGTGCTTAATTTATAAGAACATACGTAAGAATATTCTTTGTATTTGGTGCCCAATAAGGCATTTTGAAAACTCATTGTTTGAGGTGCTGGAAGTTTCTTTTTTTCCCATTTTACAGTAACAAATCGCTATCCCTCAATGGGCTGCAGTACTTGGGAGAGCCGGCCCTCACCTTGCCTGGGCAGTGCAGAAGAGCTGGCCCTAGTGACATAGGCACAGTGGAGCCCGTGCCCGCCCAGGGTGTGAGGATGAGAAAGCCAGCCCCAACCCTGCTGGGCTTTGGCACTCAGGTGAGTTGGCCCCATCTTTGCCAGGGCAGTGTTAAGAGCTGGCCCTGATGGTATGGGTACAGAAGAACCACCTTGATAGCATGAGTGTGAGAGACCCAGTTCTGTACCTTGCCAGCTACCACAGGCAGGAGAGCTGGGCCAGCCTCTCACTTGAGCAAATCAAGAGAGCTGGCCCTGGTGGTCTGGGTATAGAACAACTGGGCTCACCAGCTCAACTTCCACCCAGGTCCAAATCCAATGCTTTGAGTCAAACCACCCAAACATCTACTGCATCTAAGAACTGATGGAGCATGTGAAGAGGTCACTCCTGCAGAACCAAAGCTGCAGGACCTCCATGACACAGGGCAACAAACAGGGTATCTGCGTAGGACCCCCATTAAGGATCCAGCATTGATAGTTTAGCAGACGCTAAAGGCAACCGACCAGACCGATGACTCACTACAACGAACATTGTCAAGTAATGCAGTTTGGGCAAAAGGATAGACAGGTGACACATCATGAAACGTTGCAGCTTCCACAGCAAGATGAGTGTTGTTATTGTTTAATTTTCATTTTTTTATTTTTTTATTATTTTTATTTTTTGTTTTCTTTGGGGGAAGGTTGCAGGTGGAGGGCGAATATAGAGGGACAGGGAGAGGAGTGGGATTGGGGTGCAAGATAAGAAATTCACCAAGAACCTATAAAAAGTTTTTTTAAAAAAATAATGTAAGAAGCCAACTTAGGATGAATCAAACAGAAGAATTTCATATGTCTCCATATGTCCTGCTAATAGGAAGTGGGCAAGACATCATCTGAAGAGTGTTCTACTTGGGGAAGGAGTCATTCTGTTATTAAGAATGGATCCGGGCCCGTGGTGGTGCATGCCCTTAATCCCAGCACTTGAGAGCTGGAGGCAGGCGGCTCTCTGTGAGTTCAAGGCCAGCCTGGTCTACTAGTTCCAGGACAGTCAGGGCTGTTACACAGAGAAACCCTCTCTCAGAAACGAACAAAGAGAAAAGAGTAAAGGAGCTTTGTGAACCTTTCACTATGTTACAGGGTAGATAATATCACACACACCCCCCTCCGACCCATGTGAAAGACAGTGGTGTGAGCTTCAGAGATCTCTACTCCAAAGTCCTGTGGTTGGAGCAGAGAGAGAGACTGAGGAACCCAGATCTACCCAATACCCTAGCCAACATTTGTCTGTCTCAAACTCACAGGTGATTTCAAAAGCCAAGTTCATAGCCCAGCATCTGACAGAGAAGCAGACCCTCGGACCGTGGTTCTCCAATTTGAAATCAGACAAAGGATAGGTACTATATTCTACATTTGCATGATTAAACTGCAAGGAGTTGGTTGCCCCGCGGGTTTCCCAGTGGGACCCTGTCAGGAAAGGCAGACATGGTTGGATGTCTAAACTAACTGGTCTGAATGGTAAGTGTGTATCACAAAATGCTTACACACTTCGGAACATCAGAAAATAAGACACAATCCTAGCTCGAGGGAAGGCTGACGGTCCCGAGAGGATGCTTATCTGTGGGCAGGTACGTCAATCAAAATCATCACGGCTTCAAATTTGTGTTGGAACAGGGGTGGGCTGAAACTCCCATTGATCCACTTGGCCTGTGCCCCAACATCAAAACTTTAGAGCTCTGATCAAATCTACTGGGGATATTCCGGCAATGGAGGAAAATGAGAAGGTGGTTTCCTGTCTGCCCAGTGAGCACATACTGCCCCAAACTGGCTGCCTACAAGTGATATTGGGAGAGGACGTAGTTATTTATTAATACCTTCCTGATCACTAGACTTTCACAGCTAGGTCTTCTGAAGCCAACGGAAGAAGCCCGAACAATTCCTAGTGTGGCCACTGGGACCCTTCCCCTCAGGAACTCAAGTCTGAGAAAGTTTGCCAGGAGTGCTCGTGAAGATGAGTCCCAGTTGATTCTCCCATCCTTTACCAAACATTCCGAAGAAACGTGAATACTGACCTAGACTAGTATGCTGGGTAAGAAGGGCATGAGACAGGTACCATTTGAGAAAATATTCCATGAAGGGCCATGTGGGGAGGCCTTCTCATGCCTTTTCCCTCCACCTTCAGCTACAGGGCTAAATACCACACTGTTCCCACCACTGGACCCCTCCATGAGGCATCCAGATCCAACGCCCATTCCACTCCTTCACCTGGATATCCCTGTGTCCTGCTGGTCCCTTCCTCTTCCACCCTGACTCAGAAAGACCTGCCATGATTTCTAGATGTGGATTTCCCCAAGCACAACCCAAGGGACTTGCTTCGGGACTGTCGTGGCCATGATGGAGATGCTTTCTGTCCAATTGCCTCTAACCTCATTCTTTCCCTTGATGCTCCCAAAGTCACCAGTCTTTCCACTGTGGACCCATTTCCCTTTCTCCACTGGTGTCTTTCTCCATCCACTGTCTGGCAAAGAGGACCCTGGTCCTCAGTTGGTACCTTCTATTTGTCCTGCTTCTCATCCTACCAGGTCACACATTTGAGCCACATTCTTATGCCTTGTGTTGTAGGTTTCAGATAGAACAAATCTTTACTATAGCCTTTAAAGTGGAGGCTACTGTACACAATACACTTTTCTAGGTGAGAGGGGCACTATTACTAATTTTTTGTAATTTTTTTAAGCCAGATGTGATGTTGTACATCCAGGGTACCAGCTCGTAGGAAGGCAGAGGCTGAGATGAGAAACTCTTTAGAGTAGAATAGTAGGAGGAATTCAAGGGCACACTCAGCAGTCTCATCTCAAAATGAAGACAGACTCAGGAAGACCTCTCAACGAAAAGCCACTGGGAAGGATTAGTGAGGGAAGGAAGTCTCTTGAAGTCTGGAAAACAACCTCAGAAAATAGCAAAGCATCCAGTCACAACTGGGTGAAAGTTATCCTTGGCACAGGACAGAAAGATGATACCTGAAATGCAGAAGGAAGTAGGAAATGGAAAGAACCTATCAATGAGAGCTTCTTATTCCTCCAAGCTAGACATAAATGGTAAGGGGAGCCTGACCGGGAGAGAGACCACCCCATGGGCTGCCTGAGTGCATATAGCAAATGAAAGATCTGGCGATCCGTCTTTTGCATAAGTGACTATTGACAACGCAATCTGTTCTCCTAAAGGTTCTTCTGAGTATGCAGCTCAAGCAAACCCTCCACCTCCAGCCTCTAGATGACTCCTCCTTCAATGCTCATCAATCAATTTCCCCAGCAAGAAACAGACACCCTGGCACTGTCCTGTAAGAAGTCTTCGCAGCCACCAGGGTACCATTTTGTTACCCTAAAGGATCGCTGAACTATTCCGAATTAATTAAATGCATCAATTTTGAGTTATTTTTTCCCACAAAAGACAATCACACACACACACACACATAAAAATAATAAAATTGTGCTGATTCTTCCCAGAAGCCCACTTGTCCACTTGGAGACCAGGCTGTGGTTCAGAAGGGAGACCAGAGTGAGGTGAATTTGTCTCCTGGGTACTGAACCTGTGACCTCATTAGCGCAGGGTTCTAATCAACTAAGCCACCAGGCACGTTCCTCACGGAAGGCACCATGGCGGTAATTTGCTATATGTTAATTCTAAGATTAACTACAGATGAGACGCATTCCTAGGGGGGCAAAAATGAGAGATTTGCTAATTCTTGGGGAAAAAAATTAGGGCATCAGTTTTTGAACCCTTCAGTTTTAAAATATAATTCTGTAATCTTGAAATGATGTTCACCATCGTCTATACCTTCATGATTTTTTAATCACTGTCTACATCAGAAGGGCAAAGCAAATGGTTCCACCATTGCAACTGCAAAATACTAATCAAGTACTTATTTAGAGATTTCTCTATATATTCTGTGTTTTACGCACAATGCAGAAAAGACAGGTCCCATGTTGAGCTGAAGATGGGCTTCCAAAATTTAGAGGGCTTCATACCATCACTGACACCACTACCACACAAGATGATAAGTCCGAAAGAGGCAATCCTTCCTCCCCCAAGAAAAAGAGAAGGTTAATGTTATAGACATGTCTCAAGACAGAGGAAGTTTAATCCACTCCCCTCTCTTCCTTTTCCTTTAACCAGTCTTGACAAGTTAATGTTTAAAAACAGTAAATACGGCTGGAATACTGTTTTGGCGCTGGCTTGGTATCCTGTACTCAAATTCCTATAAATATTCTGCCTGCTTCCCATCTCTGAGAACAATTTCCGCTCTGAGGCTACATTAAACACTCAGGCCATTTCAGCTTCAGCTGCCCCCACCCTTACTGTGACTTTGAACTTGATATGGCTGAGGAAGAAACCAAAGCAACGATTTAAAAATATTAATAAAGATGGGCTCTATCCCAGACTTTGTAATTTTGTGGATGAACCTCTGTGAGGCGTCCTGGGAAGGGTGTTGGGAATGTGCCTGTACTAGATTTTCTATGGGAAGCTGACTGGAATCCCACTGTTTTCTGGAAGGATTTTCCCTATGGAGAAACTCAAGCCTCACACTCACACATTGAACCTTCTATTGAGGTTAAAGCAATGATTTAATACCTTCGTCTGTCTGAGGACGGAGTTCAGTGGTCGAGCGAGCCTTGGCTTTGAGCACTGACTTACAAACACCTTGACAGGCATACACATATACATCTAGGCTACTGTCATTTCTAAAAGGCACCTCCCACATTTGTTGGTAACTCCCAGCCTGGCATCAAGGGAGCATCCTGGGTCACACATTGACCATTAGAGGTTCATAGGAAAGTTAAGTCTCCTGCGTCGACTGTCAGTTTTTTCATCTGTAAAATGATGGCAATCATAATTACTACTTAATAGAACTACCGCTGTGCATTAGAGAAGCACATAAAATTATTCAGATAAAGGTTGAGACATAGTACCGAGGAACTCATTAAAATGTAAGCGTTCAGGCTGGGGGTGTAACTAGGGTAGAGCGCTCATTTGGTTTGTCCGGTGTATGGGACCCTGTGTTTGAGCTCCAGCACCACAAAACCAAATGGCTAAACTGTGACAACCCAGCTACTGTGTGCCTCTCTCGAGCAAAGCGTCCCCATCTGGGTGTAATATGCTGCATTACAAATATCCCTCGCTTTACAAAGTCGCAGCAGAAGTTAAATATGTACTACAGCTCTACATCCACAAGGAAAACACTAACAAGTCAACTGAACACAACATGCTTAAATAGCAGGCTCTGATTCACATAGCTAAGAGGCAGAAGCCTGAAATGAAAATAGCTAGCCCTGATTTCCAAATTAATGCCTATAAAAATGTTTTCTCCTGAAATTCATTCTAAAACAGAGCAGTGAAACTTTCCAAATTAGCATGACCGAAATAGATGATCTTGCTGTCTACGGCGTATCCAATTCTTAACCAACCTAAAGGTTTGAAGGAATTTCAAAAAAAAAAGGGGGTATAAAAATATTATCTGCCTATTCAAATAATCAGGCTAAGTACGTTTTTATCTGAAAATACAATCTGAGACAGTCTCATTTTATAGTCAAGAAACTCTCTGAACATATTCGGGGAGCTGCCGTTTTAAACAACTCAAGTTGAAGCTGCCAGTCAGAAACTAAATAAACAAAACCTAACCTGCTGGGTAGTCTCCGCCTGTACAGTCCTGGACACAGTTGCTGTAATCTGCAGGGGGATGGGTGGTTCAGTAAAATAAATAGTTCTCATTTCCTCTCTATATTTTCTCAAACCACACCAATGCACTTGTCTGTGGCTCACTTTGCAGGGCTCGGTAAGCACTCTCCCCATCTCGCTTAGAAGACTATGTTTTATTTTTATTTCGTAACGAAATGGGAGAAAGAATGTGGGTGTCTATTGTCCCAATGCACTGAGTCCTAATCGTTTCCCTTTCTCATTTGTCAGCGAGGGAGTGTTCCTAAGAGACTCGGGGGCTTTTTAGCCATCAAATATTGCCTTTCACTTTGTGATATTTGTTTCTTTCCATAAAATGATGCTGTATATTCCTCCTAATGGTGAAGAATGAAAAATAGAGAGAATTCTATTTGGTGAGATTGAACCACAAAGAGGTGAACTTCAAAGATCAAATCCCCAATAGAAGAATAAAATCTATTATGTGAGATGGAAACATGGGATTCCTCACAAATATCCAACATGATTGGTAATTCAATAACACCGTTGTTTTGTTTATATTTGAAGGGGGAAGGATATAACTCTTAGGCATAAACCTTCAGCCAGACCCTCTCTACTTGCCATCAGTCCCCAAGTGAGCCAGGATGTTTATAGGCACCAGAGTCTGAGAGCCTTGCGATGGGCTGTTAAAGCCACGAAGGTCATAGACAAGAGTGGAAGAAGCCATGATACTTACCTCGACCAAGACTACAACTGCAGCTTGGTATCTGTGACTCAGTATCAGATGGGAATCATCTGCCTTCAACAGTGCAGAATACCTACAATCTCACTGCAATCTGAGCAAGAAAGACATACAAAGTTCTACAGTGAAGCCAAATGTGGTTCTGTAAGCCTATAACCAGAACTACTTGGGAGTCTGATGCAAGAGGATCAGGAGCCTAAGAGTTCAAGGCCAACCTGGGCAACATAGTGTTGCAAGGATACTCAGTCCCTTTCTGAATATTTGGGTAATCAAGTATCATTTTGAGCTTTGGCTTCTTTATCCAGGGTACTCTTATGGCGGTGGTGCTGACAATGTATTGGAAGAAGTAATATCGGTGCTGGTGGTGACAGTGACGGTGTTGATGGTGATAGTGATGATACTGAAGGTTGTGGTGGTGGTGGTAGTTATGAGGTGGTAATAATGGAGAGGATGGCAAGATATTGGGATTAATGAAGTGGTGCTGGTGGTAAGAGTAATGGTGAAGGTGAAATGGTGAAATGAAGTGGTGGTAGTGGTGTTGGAGGTGTTAGTGTTGGAGTTGGTGGTGGTGGTGATGGTAACAGTATTGGAGTCAGTGGGAGTGACGATGGTGAAGATAGTAATGGTAGTGGTGATGGTAATAATGGTATTGGTGGTTGTCGTGGTGGTAATGGTGCAGGAGGTAGTGATTACGTGATAACGATCATGGTGAGCGTGGTGATGTTGGTGAATCAGAACACCAGCACTTTACCAGTGGAGTAAGCACGATCTTGACCTTCAAATCTCAAAAGATGAACTGAGGACTTCAGCTTCAGAAGGCCTCTCTTTCTATGCTTTCTCAGTCTTCATTTCTAATAATCAGATGCTAAAGTAATCATACGCATGCTGTTTTATAAAGTTTATTTTACTTTTAGAGTTATGTGTGTCTCTGTGTATGTTTCTATCTATGTTTGTGTGTGTGTCTGTTGTGTCTATTTCTGTGTCTGTGTATGTGTCTATCTGTGTGTGTGTCTGTCTGTGTCTGTGTGTGTGTGTCTCTCTGTGTGTATCTGTCTGTGTGTGTCTGTATGTGTCTGTGTGTGTGTTTATCTGTGTGTCCATCTGTGTGTCTGTCTGTGTCTATGTCTGTGTCTGTGTATGTGTCTATCTGTGTGTGTGTGTCTGTCTGTGTGTGTGTGTCTCTGTGTGTGTCTGTCTGTGTCTGTGTGTGTGTCTCTCTGTGTGTGTGTCTGTGTGTGTGTGTGTGTCTCTGTGTGTGTCTGTGTGTGTCTGTGTGTGTGTGTCTCTGTGTGTGTGTCTCTCTGTGTGTGTCTGTCTGTGTCTATGTCTGGGTCTGTGTGTGTATTTATCTGTGTGTGTGTCTGTGTGTCTGTTTGTGTCTATGTCTGTGTCTGTGTGTGTGTCTATCTGTGTGTGTGTGTTTGTGTCTGTCTATTTGTATCTATGCCTGTGTCTGTGTGCATCTGTCTGTCTGTGTCTATTTGTGTCTATGTGTCTCTGTGTCCATATCTACATCTGAGTCTCTGAACATGATTGTAGAGGTCCACAGAGGCCAGAAGGGAGAGTGGGAGTTACAAACAGTTGTGAGCCACTGAATGTGAGTGCTGGGAACCAAGCTTGGATCCGGTGCAGGAGTATGTGCTCTTAACCTTGGAGTCATCTCTCCAACCTCTACAACAGTATTATTGATTATGACTTGAAAGACACTTTTAAAATAATAGGAAAACAATGCAGAACTCAAGCCACTGCTTCAGGGACATATGGTGAGCTTGACTTATCGTCATGCGTATTTGTTGTTGTTGTTATTCTTAGCTATTACTTTCATCATAACCATTGTCACTGAAAGCATTCCAAAGTCCCAGGAGTCCTTGAAGAGACTACACTGTGAAATCCCAAGGACAGAGGAGTTCAGTTCATGGAGATTTGTGTGGACTCATGGGACAACACTCTTCTAGCAATGTCTGGACTGTCTGGGAGTGGAAATTCATACTTACAGCACTCGCCATGATAAAGAAGAGAATCCCTCACAGAGTAGCGTAATTTAGAAGCTAAGGAGAGTCGTGGCACAGGTCACGACATTTCTCTTCTTTCTTCTAGTCTCACTGTAACGGAGAATGTCTCCAGTCACTTCAAAGTGAGGAGTGGTCATGTTGACTCAGGAAATATGAGAAGGGGCAGATGTCACCAGTGAGCAGACACATCAGGATCCTGGACAATATCCACCAAGTTTTCCCTGTAGTGAAAGAGGAAGCAGGAAAAGAAGGAGCCTCCATCACTCCAGAATCCTAAATGGCATTGACAAACAGTCCTCATTCTGACCCACACTAGACTTACAGGGAGAGTAAGGAATAAATTTCTGATATCTTAATCCACTGAAATTTGGACAGTAAGACACAGCCTATTGTCTCCTAACAGACACCAATGTCCCTTGTGGTCACACAGCAAAGAAGAAATCTACATTTCTCTTGCAGTAAACAAAGCCTTCTGAGACTTCAATTCTGATCCACGTCAGAGTGAAGGTGACCACAAAAGGGAAGGACTGGGTGTCAAAACCCAGAAGTGATGGAAAGTCATTCTTCCCCACGGCAAGCCCTTCTGAATTTAGGGAACTGTCTAGCTGAACTTGCATGCAATAATCAGGTACCACCTCACCATGAGGCAAGCAGACAGGCTCAGCGCCGCCCCCATCTTTTCCACCCATGGTCACTTTCAGAGCTGCTCCTTTAAGCACGTTAAAGTGTCAGCCACCTTAACGGACTGTTTCTCAGAAAACCAGATCTCATCAACATTAGTGCCACGCTGCATGCTAAGTGGGGCAGTAGATGAGAGAAGCCCATCTGTGCCTGCCCTCCGACCCCTCAAGCTCCACCCCCAGCAGAACTGGGACTGGGTTTGAAAACCCCAGAGCAAGCAAAACCCAGGCGCTCTTTGAAGACCTGGCCCGGCATTATTTGTGAGTTAAAGACTTGCTGGGTCTTGCCAAGAACAACAGGGAGGGAAGAAAAGCAACGGTTGTGTGGTTTGTTTTGTTTTTGCTTTGCTTTTTTTTTTCTGAACTTGGGAAATAAGCATAAACCTCCTCTTTTCTGAAAGACTGGATGGCTCCAGTTTTCCACAATGGAGCTGACCTCTCAGTGGCCATCACCCCCATCAGATCCAAGTGGCTTCTTAATGGTCATCACTTTCCTTCCCAAATGAATCTCATGCTTGCATAGCCAAAAGAGACGTCCTGGTTTCTTACAAAGAGGCATCAGGTCTTGTACAGTGTCCAGGGACTTTGTCAAAACATAATAAGATGAGTGGCGTGTGTGTGCTTTGATACACTACAAGTGGCATTATTTCTTTCATTTCCAGCCTATCCCGGGTCTAGCTTGCTCTACCCTAGCAAGAACAAAAGAAATACACACTTGCTAGATGTACGCCCAATGCTAACAAAACCCTTTGAATTGGGTTCTATTGTATCTGCGAATGCAGTGTGAGGCAGAGAGTTCTGTGGTTCACCCAAGGCATATATACAGTCGTAACTGTAGAGCCTGAGTTAAAGACACAATCTACACACAACAGCAACTCTGATCTACCTTCTACCAGGCAAGTTTTATCATGGGATAATCTTTTTGTATACTATAGTGATGTGCCTCTGCCAAGACACCTTCTGATTGGTTTAATAAAGAGCTGAATGGCCAATAGTCAGGCAAGAAAGGATAGGTGGAACTTGTAGGCAGAGATAGGAACTCTGAGTTAAAATCTGGTGTGGGCGATTTGCCGACAAGACACAGAGGAAGTTGGACGTACTATATGGAGGAGAGGTAACGAGCCATGTGACAGACTATAAATGAATATGAACAGTTAATTTAAGATTTAAGAGCAAGTTGGGAATAAGCCTAAACTAAGGTCAAGCTTTCATACTTAATAAGAAGTCTTCTTGTCATCACTTGAGATCTGGTAGTCCAAAGAAAGTCCAACTAGAAAGTTGTTGGTTTGTTTGTTTGTTAATGGCTATGGACATGTTATTCTGTTAGCATTCATTATTATGATGGGGTACCAAAATAAATAAGGGAGCAAATAAAATTGTTTGGCTCATAATTTCAGAGGTTTCAGTCCACAGTCAGTGAGCCCCATTTCTTTGGCCTGCGTCAAGCCATAAAGATCACAGTAGAAGAACAGCACAAAGCTGCTTGACTCAGAGAAGGTAGGATGCAGGGGAAGAAGAAGAGAAAGAGGAGGAAGAAGAAGAAGGGGAGGTGCCAAAGACAATATATGTCCTTCAGATGGCCCCCAAAGAGAATGGCACTATTAGGGGGTGTGGCTTTGTTGGAGTAGGTGTGGTCTTGCTGGAGTAGGACTGTTGGAGAGGTATGTCACTGTGGAGGTGGACTTTGAAGTCTTACATATGCTCAAGCTATGCCCCGTGTCTCATTTCACTTCCTATGGCCTGCACAAGATGTAGAAATCTCAGTTACCTCTCCAGCACCATGTCTGCCTGCATGGTGGGTCCCATCACCCATCATGATGATAATGAACTGAGCCTCGGAACTGTAAGACACTCAATTCGTTGTGTTCTTTTGTAACAGTTGCTGTGGTCAGTTGAACAGGTGTGGTTACCCCCTAAGGCCATCAAAACAAACCCTGAAAAGACAAACAAGGGGAAACAAATCCTTAGAACTCACCTGTGGCTAGGCCCGTCACCTTTATAGTTCACAGGCTATGGGAGATGCTCAGACCAGTACTGCCCCAGCAGCAAAGGCTGTCCTAACAACTGCTTCACAAAGTTTAAACAAGCTTGCAAAAAAAGAAAAGTCATTCGAATATTTTTGCCCATGTTATTTAATCGTAGGCTGTTTCCTATCTTGGCTGTTAGGAATCAGAGCTGCACTAATAACCCAAGGTGCATTTCTCTCTTTGCTGTAGCGGTTTCATGGCTTTGGGATATGTAATAGAAGGGCTCAACTTCATTAGCCAAAAGAGACACACAGATCAGAACAAAACAAAATACTGTCTCCTTCATTCGAATGGCTATTAGTAAACAAAAAACAAAATAACCAATGCCAGTTAGGATGTACAAAAGAGAGCCTGTATATATTACTTATGGGAGTAATATTCCTAAGTCCAGTCTGGAGAAAAGTGTGCAATTTGGGGCTTGCTCACTTTGCCTGACAACTTCTCCATTTTCAATAGTCTTTTGTGAGATTTATACTTCTGTGGTGATTTAAATGAAATATCTAATGTATTCTAGCGTTTGAATACTTGGTCCCAAGTTGGTGGCTGTTTGGGAAGCATAGGAGGTATGGGCTTGCTGGAGGAAGTATGTCACTGGGGATGAACTCTGAGGCTTCAAAAGACTGATATTGAGTTCTCCAATCCCCCTGGAAGTATGAGTCTTCACTTCTGTAAGCTGACTGGACCACGGTGCTTTATCCTGGCAGTAGGACAGAGTCTAATACAGCTATGGACTATGCTTAGGCCTGACCACCTTCACCTCATTAAAATAACTGTGATTACTGATGGAACAGAAGAAAAAAAAAGAGTTGTCGTGGTCATGGTGTCTCTTCACAGAAATGGAAACCCTAACTAGGATACCCTCCCTACAAGGCACTCCCTCTCATCAGACCTCATCCACTAATAGAACATTCTGCACAGTGATATTTGAGCCCTCATGATTTCATGACCTCTCAGGAGCCTACCAACTTGAGACCAAGTCTTCAGCACTTGATGTATATTTTACACCCAAACCTCCACGGGCGTACACATAGTTGCTATGAAGAAAATGCACTAAGCCCTCTATCACTGTTAGAAATGCAGAAATCTCAACCTAGGGTACCATAGCACAAGCTCAAAGCCTGCTAAATAAAGTAGGATTTGAAGCAGCAATGGAGGAAGATGTCTATGGCCATGAAAAGAGAGGCCCATCTGGGGAACTACAGAAAAGACATTTTGAAATGAATCCACTTGATAAGTTAATAAAAAAAAACTGCATGAAAAGGTAACTTTCCATTGTTGTATATTGGTTTGAATTTATAGGTAGCTTAGGATTTTTAAAATAAACCACTATGAAAGAACACAATGTATTACATCCATAAAAACAAAGAGAACAGAGAGACGAGAAAATCACAGACACAGTATAGTCAAAAGATGCTTAAGGAATATGGAGAGGAGAGAGGGATGATGAGGCAGAGAAGAAATTCCAGCAAAATCACTGAGAAGAAGGGAAACAGAGTAATTAATACAAAGAAGAAAAGTGTCAAAGAGTAGATAGCTTTTAAGAGGAGAGAATTGGATCAGGGTATCGGTTATGTCTCTACTGCTGTGTCAAAAAAGCATGGCCAAAAGCAACAAATAAAGAAAGGATTGATTTGGGGCTTGGGGCTTAGGACCACCATCGCAGCAGAGAAGCGTGGTAGCAGGCACCAGGCATGGCAGCAGGAACAGCGGAGAGTTCACAGCATGGACCACAAACGGGAAACAGAGACAGCCAACTTGAAAAGGCACAAGCCTTATAAACCCCAAAGTGACATGTGTCCTCCAGCAAGAATACACATCCTAAGCCTCCCCAAACATCCACCAACTGGGGACCAAGTAGTCAAATGCCCAAACTATAGGGAACTAGCATTCAAGCTACTGCAAAGGGCGGGGTGGGGGCTAAAGAGGTCCTTACCAAAAATAATTCTGCACAAAATACGTAAGTACTGGCTGCTTAGAAAATACACAGAAATGGACATCAGAGGCAAAGGAAGAAGCATTAAAGGCTGCCTCAGTTGAGCCAGGTAAGAGTGCAGAAAAATATATTAGCTACTTTCAACACCCAGCAAAACTCAGAGAAAGGAAAGCCTTTTATTATTCAAAACACATGTATATTTCTAAATAAATATATACATACATGGGGGGGTTTGTAAACCTCTAGATTTTGATTAAAGTCTTTCCATTTATTTTCCTAGCCATAAAGCTCACATTCATCTCAAGTCCTTTCAAAAGATGCTCCCAATCTGTTCTGTGACTTTGCAAAAGGCATGGGGGCTGTGCCCATATTTCTTCACACTATTCTTTGATTTTGACGTCGCTGCTTGGACCCTGCAATTCATGTTTCAGACTTTAGCCCTGCTGAATGTGTTTCCAGAGTTGACTAGTTCCCCCGCCTCACTAGAATTTTTAGCTGACTGTATCACTCACTCGCTTCAGCCCAAATGGACCAGCCATTGAAGCATGTGCTCCACAATGCACTTTTCTCTGTTAATCAATTTGTGGTACTTCCTCATAGGAGTTATTGACAACGTGGCTGCTTCTCAGACTTGTATCTGCAATGCAAACCGTCGGTCTTCCACTCACTGACCCCTGAATCCTAAAGTTGGAGGGATAATTTCACGGTACACACCTTTCTTTGTAGTGAATTACACCTCTGGGGGAAAAAAAAACTTCTTGTCTCCTTTAACAACCCTCAGCACCAACAAACTCTTGCTGGCTCAAAGCACCCCGAAAAGAGAAAACTTAGCCCCTTGAAGAATATTGTGAGGACAACTGGGACTTTTAAAAAAAAGTTTTTATTATAACAATGATAATGTTTTCTAACCCCAGAATAAAAATACTGACAACTGACACCATCCTGGCTTATCTTTGTAATGCTGTGAACATATTTTCTCAATGTCACCAACAGAAGAATCTAGAATTCTGGTCTTGGGGTTCTCGCTGCAGAAGAACATGGTGGTAAAACATCTGTGGATGAACTGTTTCCTATTTACTTTGCAAAACTGCTCAAGAATTCACATAAGTAATTGATGAAATACCCATCTTTTGTGAGATTTAAAAAAAAATACTCCTTGATATTTTTGACAGCTAGATGACCAATCTGAAGGACATGCTTTCTTCTATAAAAACATATAACCTCCCTGAGCTGGGGTTCCACACTCAAGTTCTGAAGAGGAATAATAGTAATATCCAATCTGAGCAACGTGACCATGATGGCCTGCTGTGGAACAATGGTCTGTACCCTGTCCATTGTATTTTAATAAAACACTGATTGGCCAGTAGCCAGACAGGAAGTAGATAAGTATAGGCTGAGCAATGAGAATGCTGGGAAGAGGGAAGCACATTCTACAGTCGTGACCCAATCACAGAGGAAGCAAGATGTGACTGCCTCGCAAAAAAAGGTACCAAGCCAAATGACTAACATAGACAAGAATTATGGACTAATATAAGTTATAAGAGTTAATGAGAAACCTGAGCTACAAGGCCAATCAGTTTATAGTTAATGTAGGCCTCTGTGTGTTTATTTGGGACTAAATGGCTGTGGGACCCGGTGGGACAGAAACCTCTGTTAACAATGACCCTTATTTCAAAACCGAAACGATGGTAATGCATAGTGGGAAACGCAGACTAGGCCAGGGAGCATTCCCCGAGGCATCCCAGAAGTCCATTGGCTGCCTTTTCCATGTTGTCAGAAGCACCACAATCTCTGACTGCAGAGCAGTGCTGAGTCACTGCAATTGTTGCCTAATTTTGACTTACAAAGCAGTTTTCCTAAAGAGCTTCTCGCTTATGTTACTTCTCCCAAAGTCCTTATGATCCTAGTCTACATTTCAATCCTGAACTCTCTCTCTCTCTCTCTCTCTCTCTCTCTCTCTCTCTCTTTCTGTGTGTGTGCGCGCGCGCGCGTGTTTATTAATTGATCATGAAAAGTTGTCAAATGTTAGAAATATGTGTTAGTAATAAATAAATCAACTACTAATAAGCCCCCAGGTTCTCTGGTCTCTGAGGATTGTTAATATGTATCACACAAGCCAGACATCAAACAAGGTTCATCAGTACAGATACAGGGCCCTGTAAGACCCTTTCAAACTTTATTTTCCCCCCATGAGCCGTCTTCCCAAAAGTCTTAACCCAGAAACCAACACCCCATCTGCAATAGGAGACAGAGGTTTAGAGAAAGAGAAAAGAACAGGAAAATTAAGGTTTGGGACCTCTGAGGTTGGGATCTAGGGTACAGCCTTCACGGAAGGCTGGGCCACACACTCAGCTGAAACACAGATATGATGATTATCACAAGGGCTCTATAACAACCTAAGGGGGCCTTTCAAATGGATGCTTCTCAAGAACTGCCCAACAATGGGGTCCCACTATCTCTGAAAGTTGGGTCTATGTGACAACACAGTAGCTAAACGCAAGGTGAGAAACTTCCAGAGCCTTTGAGAAATCGGAGCTGTGCCACCCCAAATCCGCGGAAATGCAGAATAGCCTCCAGGCCAAGGCTGCTGATGTCTACTGGAAGAATTCTCTGCATGAGAAGTGTGCGTGCTAGAGGCTGATCACGTCACCAAAGTCTGCAGAGAAATAACAAAACTCCTTGGCCGCTTCTGTCATTCTCCTAGTGCCCCTCTGAGAAATCCTATCTGACCTCTGAGGTTGAAATCCCCTGGGGAATCTTAGGGAATCTATCAAAACCCTGGCGTCTGTGCGCAGCCTCAGAGCCTCTGAATACAAAACAGGACCATTTCCTGGCTCAGAACTCCATCACCAAATTCCTTAGGCTCAGAACTGGTGGGAAAACAGATCCCCAAGTTCTTCTGATTTAGAAATCATCCAGACTGACAACAGATAGGAAATTGACAAGGAGATTTGAAATCATTTACGCAGTCAGT